ACATTTCGTGGAAGCTACGCTGGAGGGCTGGTCCATTTACATGTACATCGAGCCATATCGTTTGTCAAGAGCCGTGCAGTTTCTCTACCTGTAGGACGTGCGTGTTCTGTGCTGAGCGCTGATGGTGGCTTCACCTGTCGTCGGGCAGACGTCGTGTCGGCGTGCTGGTGTAATACTGACTCGACTGGATGCCGTACTGCTGTCCTACTGGCATGACTGGTTGTCGGTGAGCTGCCGTTCTAACGCTAGAACTTTCGGCGAGTCCGCTACCCGTCTCGTGATGAGACTTTAACCGAACTTTTCGTTTCCGTGTCGGCGGGCCGACCTGCATTTCACTCCTCGTAGGATGCCACGAATTGGGACGTTGTCATGACGTTGCTGCTGCTGGTCCGGCAAGACTTAAGTATTAAATTATGATTGTATAAGTTTGATTTTGATGGTGTAAAGTAATGTGAATTAAGTGATGTGTGTCGTACTTTCATGCAGTTTGATTGATTTGATTGCATTTTGATGTATTGGAATTGTGAATGAATAGAATTGAGCATATTTGAAAATCTAAATTTGTCAATATGCAACAGCGTCAATCGGTGGGAGACGGGGAACCCCTCCACCCCCCCCCCCCATTTTAAAGCGATGGAGACTTTTTGGGTCCCCTCCCCCCCCCCACACTTTTCTTCCCCAAATAAAAATTGTAGCTACTACATGTATAATGATTCTATTACTCAGAATAGCTGATTCAATGACACCAAACTCGAAAATGATGTTTAAAAGATGATCTTTTGCTAAAAAAAAAATTGTTTTAGTGGTCAGAAATTGCCTCAGATCGCACCACAGAAATTGCTTTTCTATAACTGCATGTCTTCTCTACTAAATCCCCCAATTACATTCATCTCCCCACATTTTCATCCCCAACTCTACGCCCTACCCGATCTATGATCGGGTAAATCAACGAGGTATCGATGCATTGCTTCAAATATTGTGATCTTTGAACTATGTTGGGTTGGAATAACGAAGAGTGCATAAATAATAATATTGGCGGTTGTTGGCTGTTTGGCCTTGCTTATATTATGGTTGAACCATGCCAACTTGAATAAAATAGTTAAATCGACTTTTTCCTCGCAGGTCTCGCAAATTGTAAGAAGTTCAAGTTTACGTTTGTTGAAGAGTCCAATACTGTACCTTCATAATGACCTTCCTCAATGATTCAGACTATGTAATTTTATGGTAACACACTCAACATTTCTATTGCAAATGCCACCTTCACGTTTTATTCCATTATGATTTATTGTCAAAACATTACAATCAGCCTTCGCCTGTGTACTATACGGTAAGTCTTTCAACTCAGTTTTCCCACATTAACAAACGCGACTGCCTCACAAAATGCAACAGACCAACGGGAAAATTTCCAGACAGTTATACATGCCATGGTACATAATTATCATGGGCGCGGCGTCTATCGGTGGGAGACGGGGGACCCCCACCCCAACATTTAAAAGCGGGCACCGAATATCGTTTGGTTCCCTACCCCCACTTTTTCTTCCCCGAATAAAAATTGTAGCCTACTATAATATTCTTTTGCTCAGAACAGCTGATTCAATGACTCCAAACTCGAAAATGATGTTTAAAAGATGATCTTTTGTTTTACTATATCATACGTGGTCAGAAATTGCCTCAGATCGCGTCACCGTAAATTGCTTTTCTATAGCTACATGTCTTCTCAACTAAATCACCCATTTACATTTAACTCCCCACACTTTCAACCCCAACACAAATACGCCCTACCCGATCTATGATCGGGTAAATCAGCTTGTCATGAATAAGTGCATTCCCGGGGTAGAGGACAGACGAGACCCGTCGAGTTTAGAAAAAAAACTCGAGTGGTACACTATAAGTTCCAAGTTTCATACAGCTATATTCCCTTTGCATAGAGCGCCATCACTGAGGAGAGGTTTCTTTACTTAAATTAGAAAATGAAATTCGCTCGTACTACCCGCCCTACAAACAGGACGCTGGGAAGGGCTTACGAATTCACGCTCTGATTGGATAGTCAACACGCGCGGTGACGACCCTGGAAGGTTTTAAGCGGCCGTTAAGACTGAGTTATACATCACTCTTGTTTTCCCATTCATAAATGCCCTTTTTTGTTGAAAGCGTAATAATGTTGGAAAATATGTAAAACGTTTCTGTTTTGTAAATGTTCAACTACCGTCAGTTGCTCAGGCTCCGTTTCGAATTCACGAAGGGCATTCGTTCGCTTGAACCCCCCGCCCTGCAAACAGGGCGCTGGGAGTGGCTGATGAGCTTCACAGAATCTTGTGAAGGAAGTGGGAGGGGCTTCTGGGTAATTTCATCATGACCTATGTATAAAGCATCTGGCTGCAGTTGTTTAAGACCGCAGTTAGCCAATGCGCGCAAATGCTATCCGAAAACTTTCTCATTGTGAGTGCGTTCGATTACTTCCCCCATCTTACTCGCGCCTGGCTCCTCGCGTGAAGACAGACATGCGCAGTGGAGCTAAATTAACAGTTTCGGGTAAATTTTGTGCAAGAGCTGGAAACATGGATGTCGCCAGGATTTTGTCTAGAGGGGGGCAAAACATATTTTCCCCAAAAAAATCATGTATTTCTCAACATATTCTCGATTTATCAGTTTTAGAGGGGGCTGGGACATTTTGCCCCCCCCCCCTTTTTTTTGGGGGGGGGGGGGGTCCGGAGGGGGGGGTTGCGCCCCCCTTGCCCCCCTCGCAACGCCCATGGCTGGAAAGTTGAATTGTGACATGACACAGGCTGCATCCGAATCAATTACCTGTCTAGAGCACGTCCACGCCCAGTGAAATTACGCGGGGACGCGCCGACAATAATTCGTAGCCGTAGCTCCGTGCATAGAGCTACATAGGGTTTGTAGCTCTATGCTCCGTGGAAGCCCGTTTCGGACACGGCCTGAGCTAGCTGAGCTGAGACGCCCGCCGGACGTTGCATGGCCTTATGGGATACTTACCCAAGTAACCGGCTCGGCGAGTCGGTCACTTGGGACAGGCTCGAGTAAGCGCGAGAAGTCACGTGAGAGGTCAATCGAACGCTGTCGCGCCTGCACGAGTAAGCGCGGGGGAAGCAATCGAACGCACTGATAGAAATGCATAGATTCCATACCGGATGTGGCTTCTTTTTTTATTGCGGACCTTGGGGACAAATTTTGAGGGTCGAATAATATGCATTTCGACCCTCCGTGAATTCGAAACGGAGCCTGAGCAACTGAAGGGAGTTTACAAAACAGATAAGTTTTACAGATTTTCCTACATTACGCTTTTCAACGAAAAAGGGGCATTTATGTTTAAAACCTTGTAGGGTCGTGGCCGTGATTGCTGGTCACAGGTCACGCAAAATTTATCCAATCAGAGCATGAATTCATCAGCCCTTCCCAGCGTCCTATTTGCAGGGCGGGGGGTACGAGCGAATATTATTCGACGCTCAAAATGTGTCCACATGGTCCGCAATGAAAAAGAAATCACATCCGGTATGGAATGTATGGATTTTTATGATATAGTTTTCGGATATCATTTTGCGCATTGGCTAACCGCGGTCTTAAACAGCTGCACATTCTGTGAAGCTCATCAGCCCTTCCCAGCACCCTGTTTGCAGGGCGGTGGGTACGAGCGAAGAGATGAAAGTACAAAGTGTCTATAGTCCTGCATATCACAGAGGAACATCTGTCCCGAGTGAGGGCGCTCTATGCAAGGGCACTTTTTAAGGGCGTTTGTGACCTTTAAAGTTACGTTGCCGTGCTCTTCAACAAATTTGATTTGTTTTCTCTTCTTCTTAATAAATGCACAACTTGTATGTTTTATTCCAACCAAAACCTCACTCCCCCACCCCCTCTTTTTTTGGACGTTTGCAAACCTCAGGGCACAAACAAATGTGCTTAGCGAGCAGACCAGCTATCGATATATACCGATTGCTGTAGGGCGGGAAACGGACATTGATGTCTGGGAAATTACACATGGGCCGGGTTTGTTTTGTTGGTTTTTTTGGTCGATGTCTCGTTCAAAATTGAGTAACTTTTGTATTGCCAGAAAATTAACAATTTAGAAAAGGAGTCGATTTTTTTTCGGGATGAAACTTGAAAATAGTAGGGGAATGCATCATAACTTGGACAGATTTTGCTTCATTGGTGACCTGGACTTAACATTTCCGCGTGTGTATTATGCGCGGAATGTACGTGCATTGATCACGGCGACCAGCTACCAATAACATTTTGCGTTTCCTGCACAAGATATTGTAAAGGAGTTCAGCGGTCAACTAAACATCACTTCGCCCTTAAATGTGACGGTGGGTAGAGCGACTGACGACATTGTGGAATGTGATACATGGATGCTGGCAGAGAGGGGCAACGGTAGGGAAAGCTGGAATATTCGGGCAGGTAAGAGCAGCGGCGTCACTAGGGTAAAACTTCTGCGGAACCTGGGGTGCATCAATTTTCAAGGGGCAAGGCAAATGAAATGTATCATTTCAACAGTGCAGTATATTTTTTTAATTCAAGATTTCAAATGTGGAATGGACATTCGCCCATGGGCGTCGCGGGGGGAAGGGCAAGGGGCACTTGCCCCCGCAAAACAAAAAAGGAAAGGAGAAACAAAACAAAAACAAAAAGAAAAAGAGGTGTGAAGTATTTGCTATTAATCTAATACACGTTTAACAAAATGGGCGTCTGCAGGGTGTCAAGGGGGTGGGGTGGGCAAATGTCCCCAGCCGCAGGCGCGGTTCTACGGGGGGGGGGGGCTGTAGCCCCCCAAAATTTTGTCTAGCCCCCCGGTTCTAGAACCGCGCCTGCCCAGCCGCCCACCCTCGAAGACAAATGAGAAATTGAGAATATGCTAGCAAAAGTAAACGGATTTTTTGGGGGGTGTGCTTTGCCCCCCCCCCCCCTCCCCAGAATAATCCTGACGACGCCCATAGTTACGTCGCTGAGGAGGAGGGAGAAAAATCACAATAGACTCATATGAATTAGACTTTGCTGTACATGTATATTGATGTTACGTTGATAATGATGACCTTTACATTTCAGTAAACGAGAACACAAAATCGCAGTAGCTTTTACTCTAAAAAGATTTTAAAATTTGACCTTAAGTTCATCTTAAAGATAACATGTGATACATTATAACATTGATATAATTATAAAGGTAAACATACATGCAAAGATGGAAATTACATATCTAATTACACTGCAATACATTCACTGACGAAATTGTAAATTCATATACAATTGTCTCGGATACATGTATTAATATATAAGTTCATCAGATGTCACTTGCCATGTGCACTTTTAAGCTTCGGCATACAGACATACGGATTTTTTTTATTTAAGATTATTGAAAAAAAATATCTGCAAATAAACGCCAGTTGGCGTTTTTTTCTTCACACGAGACGTACATGTTATATCATTAATACTTAATACATAAAAAAAAAAATTCGGTTAAACTACCAAAAAAAGTCATTTGTTTTGAATCGTTTCATAAAACTGACAGAAATAATGCAGAGGAAATCGTTGATTTAAAAAAAAAAAAACACTTCAAAAACAATTCAGTCATTTACGGGGAATTTTTTAATCGGCAGAATTTATTTTTCGAGTGTCTTCACCCCCCTTACTTCATTCAGTCAGTTAAGAGATGTTCTCGTTCTCGCGCTCCGTATGCTATGAAAAGCAACTGTGGAGCATCTTATCTAGATCTGATCTTACGGAGGCATCCAGAAGGTTCAGGGATCATACGGTACCGGCACCGCAACATGTGACGAAACACCTCCTTGAAGTGTGGGTGTTTGGCCCCGTAGATGATCGGGTTGATAGCGCTGTTGACGATGGCGATCATCCCGGTCCAAGGAATGGCTGGATCGCTGGGTGGTACCATCAGGGCGATGCCGAAGGGAGCCAGGCAAGCAACGAAGGCACAGACCACGTAGAACAGATTCTTAGTGATTTGCACCTGTCGCTTATTGAAGCTGGCAGGTGGATTCCTGGTGAGTCGCTTGGTGCTGGCGGTGGAGGAGTTTGATGTCTCGGCTAGCTGCACATCGTTACCCGACAACTTCTTCATGTGGCCTTTGATGTGGCGGTAAATCTTGATGTAGCACACCACCAGGACGATCAGAGGAATTGGGAATCCAAGGGCAGAGCCCAGGAGGCTAAAGAGATCGCTGGTTTCCAAGGAGTTGTCTTGGTTACAAGTCTTGTATTTCTCCGAATATCCAAACATCCCGATCCCGACAAAGGGTAAACTACAGAGCAGAGCTGAGTAAACCCATGTGAAGACCACCATAGCTGCAATCTTCTTAGGTGTGTAGATGGAGCGGTACGTAGCACTCGTCTTGGTGATGAGGACATACCGATTAATGGCAATGGCTGCCAAGTTCATGACACTTGTCTCGAGACTAAGAAAGTGAAGACCGCCCATGAAGGAACAAAGTAGAGGAGGTAATTCGGGAGGCCATCCACCCAAGCTGAACAGAGCCACTGCTGTGAACGGAATAGCACAGCAATTAAGTACGTCAGCTACGGCCAAGTTGACGACAAATGCATTGATGCGACTTTGGAGTTTCCTTGACAGAATGACAGCCAGGATGACCATGAAGTTCCCAGCGAAGCCAACGACTGCCACGAGGCAGTAGACGCAGCCGATGATGATCCGCTGTACGGGGTCTTCAAAGCGAAAGTTGCGACCGTCACCTTGTGTCGTGGACTCCATCAATGACGCAGATGTCATGCTTGTAGTGACACTAGTTGCCTCAACTGCGTCAGTCCTGAAATCAGACGACAGAAAATCGGACATGGTGCTAACGACTGTCATGTTTTCTGGTACCATTGTCGTGGCCATTTCGCTTGTTGCAGTGAACATATCCATCTCTTGATGAGATCAGTGGATGCTGCTACAGTGACTGTTCGTCGTTGAATGTCGGTGACTCAGAGCAACCGTCCTGTATTTCAGCAACCACCCTGTCACAAGCAGGAAACGAAATTGATGAAAGCAACAGAAGATAGAGTTTTGTGTCGATGTGAAGTAAATCGATACGGCAGGACATGCTCTTTTTAACTTTATATGGGGTGGATTTCGACTGTGCAGAAAGTTTGAGTCACCGATGTGCTTGACATTATCGCCATGACTTTCATGAATTCGGCAACAAGTCATAGGATTCAAAGCCAATTACAGATTTTGCTTGCCCTCGTTAACGGCACTTTCGAGAAAAATGCGCAATCGCAAAATCGTTTAAAAAGAGCTAGATAAGAACGTTAACATTACTGAAAATGTGCAATTTTCATGTAATTACGGCGCAAAGGAATTTCAGAATCAGTGTGCAAAGTGCTGGTCCTCATAATTTGAGCCTTTAAGTACGAAGCAAAATTGGAGTCAAAAAGATTGAAAGGCATATTTTGAAAAACGGAATATATTTTTGGTTACTCGAACGTGTATTTTTAAAGATCAACGTGTGTTTAAATAAACGGAAAGCAAGGGGATGCATTTCTTTTTTAATCGAACGTGTCTTTTTACTGTTCGAGAAAAACAGAATGTATTTTGAAAAGTCGAACAGGTATCTTAGCAACCCAAATGCATTTTTAAAAAACAAGGTGTATTTTAAAAAACCGAAGGTGCAATTTTACGAATCGAATGCTTTTTCCAAAACGGAATGCATTTTCAAAATCCGAACGTGCATCTTTTACGAATCGAATGAATTTTTTTTCTGCATTAAAACATCGGCTGGTTTCGAATTCATGCATTCGACATTTGAAAATGCATTCGAAGCGTTCAACGCATTCAGGTTTTGACGTACGTTTGGCGCTGAAAAACACGTGATTTTTTTTACTGTGTTCGGGCCCGGTTTCCACGAGTATCCGAAGTACACCCGAATCTTTTTTTCGGAGGGTGTTCGGCAAATCTCCGGTTTTCGAGCCAACTCGGATCCAACCATGGACTCGGACCAAGTTGGACCCAGACCAAGTTGGACCCAGACCAACCCGAACCCAGGCCGACCCAGAGGCAACCAACTCGAACCCAACCATGACCAACTCGGACCCAAACCAACTCGGATCCAGACCGACTCGGACCCATACCAAGGCGGACTAAGACCAAGTCGGACCAGACCAAGATGGATCCAGACGAAGTTGGACCCAACCAACTTGGACTAAACCACGACTAAATGTTTTAATAATGTTAACTGTCTAGCAGGCGTGGATCGGGGGGGGGGAAACAACTGTGTCAAAAAAGAAAAAATCATAGGAATTCTTTAAAAATAATGTTAATTCTGTTCAAATTCCATGCGATCTGGGCCTGTCATGCTGGTCGGCATCATTTTTTTTAAAGACATAGGCCTAGGCCTAAACGTGCATGACTGACCCGGCAATGGCACTGAACAAAAGATGACTTGTTTACTATTCGAATAATTTTTGTAACCTTTATATGCAAAATCTGATTGAATTATGTCTGCCTTGGCTTAACGGCCACCGAAATGTTTCTATTCTTTTTCTTTGTAAAGAGAAACCGAAAAGATGGCTTATGCTAACTTACTGCACAACCGGCCGATTGACCTTCATAAATTATCAAACAAAGAACTTCAGCAAAGCCATAGCAAAAACCACCAGCTACAGGACGATATCCGAGACGGACGAAAATGGAGAACTTCACGGAGGGATGGAATCGACTGTATCATCCAAAGAATGGAACATGCGATATGATAGGCATCTACGAAAGCCCATTAGCGCCACTGCAAGTATATATGTTGCGGATTATTTAATTCGTTATTACGGATTATTAATTCGTTATTACGGATTACTAATTCGTTATAACGGATTATTAATTCGTTATTACGGATTATTTAATTCGTTATTATGGATTACTAATTCGTTATAACGGATTATTTAATTCGTTATTACGGATTATTAATTCGTTATTACGGATTACTAATTCGTTATTACGGATTATTAATTCGTTATTACGGATTACTAATTCGTTATTACGGATTATTTAATTCGTTATTACGGATTACTAATTCGTTATAACGGATTATTTAATTCGTTATTACGGATTATTAATTCGTTATTACGGATTACTAATTCGTTATAACGGATTACTAATTCGTTATTACGGATTATTTAATTCGTTATTACGGATTATTAATTCGTTATTACGAATTACTCATACGTTCTGAGTCATACTCGGCAAGTATGGCACAGGAGTGCAAACGTTGTATGCAAAGATAGCGCCGCCTAGCGGCCCTATATACACAGGCCCCTGGTCACGTGCTCTCCACGTGTGAGAACATCAGACCTAATTCGTAATAACGAATTAATAATCCGTAATAACGAATTAATAATCCGTAATAACGAATTAAATAATCCGTTATAACGAATTAGTAATCCGTAATAACGAATTAAATAATCCGTTATAACGAATTAGTAATCCGTAATAACGAATTAATAATCCGTAATAACGAATTACACAATCTGTAACATATATACTTGCAGTGGCGCTAATGGGCTTTCGTAGGCATCTGAGAGACTGACTTAATCAAGTACGATGTGGAACTGTTAACATTGATTGATTTTGCTTTTGGAAAGAAGCTGTGGAGTTCAACGCAAGTATTTTTATGAGCTCCCAAGATGACTGTCACATTATTGACGTTTGTATAGTGAAGAAAACAATGAGTACTTTTACGGTTTGAAATTATATTGTGTACAAGATTACTAGCTATAGCCATTAATACACCGTCATATTCGCTCACAAAACGATTCCCATTACACTTACAAGTAATTGTATTTATTTTCAGAAGTATAGCTAAACATTTAATTATAAACAAGACCGTGCGAAGCTTGAATTATTCTTTGGCAATATTAGTATAGTACTATTTTGGTTTGTGATTCATCTCCTTTCACACAATTTCACAAGAGGTGAACGATGTCATTCCCATGGGCGTCGCGAGGGGGGGGGGCAAGGGGGGGGGGGGCAACAACAACAAAAAAGGAAGAAAAAGAAAAGAAAAAGAAAAGTAAAGAAAAAAAGGCGCGAAGACAAAGTGGTGTAAATTTAATGAGTTGGGGGGGGGGCAAAATGTCCCTGCCCCCCTCTAAAACTGATAAATCGAGAATGTGTTGAGAAATACAAGCATTTTTGGCAAAAACAAATTTTGCCCCCCTCTAGAAAAAATCCTGGCGACGCCCATGGTCATTCCCTGATCAATCTAGGGACGGGAAGAAGTTTTTACTGATTACTTTGTAAAATTAAAGGTTTTTTTTACCTTTTAGATTCTAATTGGTTCATGTTCGGGTTTTTAATAAATATATCAATCATTTGAATGAATCTCCATACAATTTTTCGAGAGAGTGTTCAGTTAAAAAAAAATATAATGTCATTTCAGCATATTATTAATACAATTATTCATTTCATTGATGGAGTAATTCAGTGTGCTCTAATGACCAATGTGCCAAAAATGAAATGGAAATTTACTTTCAATCATTTTTGGGAGGAGGTTAGAGGGATGACAAAAATAAGGGAAAAGGAAATGGGGGGTTCTTAAATTTCGAAAATGCATATATCAAGAAAGTGTGGAAAAGCTGTTTGGAGGGATTGAGGGTAACTCTTCATCGTTCAGTTATTTTTTTTTAAAGATTTGTTTTGGAGGAGTGCTTGAACTCCCTCCTGTAAGAAACATTTCAATCGATAATCCATTTTCCAAAGTAAACGAGTGAAAACACAATGCGCGTTTACCCGTCTGACAATAAACGCGCCGCCATTGTTCGGCCGCGCATTCGTGCACAAACACTGCACGATGTCCTATCCAGTCTGTGTATATGGAGATCAATGGTTTTGACGTACGTTCGGCGCTGAAAAACACGCGATTTTTTTGACTGTGTTCGGGCCCGGTTTCCACGAGTATCCGAAGCTCACCCGAATCTTTATTTTTTCGGAGGATGTTCGGCAAATCTCCTGTTTCGAGCCAACTCGGACCCGAACCAAGTTGGACCAAAACCAAGTTGGACGCAGACCAAGTCGGACCCAGACCAAGTCGGATCCAGACCAACCCGGACCCAGGCCGACCCAGAGGCAACCAACTCGGACCCAACCATGACCAACTCGGACCCAAAGCAACTCGGATCCAGACCGACTTGGACTAAACCATGACTAAATGTTTTAATAATGATAATTGTCTAGCAGGCGCGGATCCAGGGGGGGGGGAGGAACAGGTGTGTAAAAAAAAAGAAAAAATCATGGAAATTCCTTTAAATAATGCGACCCCCCCCCCCCCCCGCTCTGACACCAAAACAATTATACTGGTAATAATGTCCGCCTGTACACAAAATATGGACAGAGCTTTGTTGGTGGTATTTGTGCTCCATTCTGTAATATAGTGATAATAATCGTCGGATTTGAACAGCGCCCCCATTTAAAGCTTGGTAAGACCCCCCCCCCCCGAGTCAAGTCGCGTCATTTACCCCGTTCGGCTCTTGTTTGTCTCTTTGATTGTTTGCTTGTTCGTTCGTTTGTTTGGGTTTCTTTTGGGGGTATAATTTCTTAATTTGAGGGGGGTTTGGAGTTTTGTTCAAAATACACCTTGTTTTTGCACTCGGGTTGTAAAAATACACGTTCAATTTTTTTTGAAATAAACAGTCTGGTTTAAAGTGCTTTCGATTTGTTAAAACACATGTTTGATCTTTTAAAAATGCACGTTCGCGTTTCAAAAAATATATTTCCTTTTCAAAATATGCGTTTTTAATCTTTAACTCTAATTCTGCTTCGTAGTTTTGGGCTTTAGTCGTCACTCCAGTCATATTGTTTCCTTTCAAAAGTTCTTCAAATGCATGTGCTCTCAGAGGATTCTCTAGATTATAATTTTGGGGAAGCTGGATGAATGTACACCTTTAATAGAACGGCATATACAGTTGCACTGAAAACCGTCATGAAGCTACGGTCCGATTATTAAACTTGGCAGAATCTCACTTGGGAAGGTGGCTTCGGTTACAGCCCGATAGTCCGAAGGTTCGATAGTCCGAAGGGTCATTAGTCCGAAAATAGAATACGGTTAATTAATCCGAAGGTTCGATAGTCCGAATAGACGATAGGGTTCGATAGTCCGAATAGACAATAAGGTTTAATAGTCCGAATAGATGATAAGGTTCGATAGTCCGAATGGGCAATACGGTAGGGTTCGATAGCCCGAATTGACAATAAGGTTCGATAGTCCGAATTGACAATAAGGTTCGATAGTCCGAAAGGGCAATACGTTTCGTCAGTCTGACACTTCGGACTATCGGACCTTATTGTCGATTCGGACTAACGGACCTTATAGTCTTTTCGGACTATCGAACCTTGTTGTCAAGTCGGAATAATGAACCTTCGGACTACTGAACCTTGTTTTCTTTTCGGACTATTTAACCTTCGGACCAATTAACCTTATTCTAAATTCAGACTACCGAACCTTCGGACAAATGAACCTTCGGGTTAATGAACCTTCGGATTATTGCATTAAATGTTCGGATTAACGAACCTTATTTCATTTTCGGACTAACGAACCCCCTCTTATGGAAATTGTGTTCATTCGGACTATCGAACCTTCTGACTAAGGAACCTTCGGACTATCGGACCTTCGGACTATCGGGAGGCCCCCGGTGGCTTCAGGCGCTTCCATACGCGCATGTGTAAAAGCTAGTCGTAGCCAAGTAAATTCAGACGCGGCTATAATTGTGTATGATATAGTCGAGTCTATCACAAGTCCATTCAAAAGCCTTCAGTCAAAAGTAAAGTGGATGAACAATACCAAAGAAATGCCTTTGTCAAAGCTCATTTTGAATTAGGACTGGAGGACTTGTGATGGACTTGCAGGGACTTGTGACTTGACTCGACTCCTTCCCTTATTATGATACGGCAAACAATGATGGAGGTGCACCTCCACAGTGGTCTCGTCGGAAACTCAATCACGCAGGTGACATTTAGCATAGGGCATACAGACCAGTTTGTATTTAAAAAAAAATCTTTTAATTTTACCTTATGGAGGATTCAACAACAACTATTTACAGGTTGTCCCGGTGATGGTTGCTATGACTATACGGAGTTACTTGAAGGACTGATCCACTTTTCCAGTCGGCAGCTGGTGGATAGGAGGAGGAACGATACCAAACAGCCTCAGCAAGTGTCGCAATCCTTCACTCAGCGAGCACGGGGGTTGAAATGAATTCAGGTATGGGCCCGATCAGTGATTATAAACTGGTAGAGTACGTGTGGTACATGTGAATACCATTTTTCTTCTGATAACATTGTGGTCTGATTATGTTTCGAGGGGGAAATTCCCCCACTCCCCCTAATATTATCTCCAAAACTTCTTGGCGTTCTTATTTAAAGATAAGGAACTTTCATGCTGAGTAACATTATAAGAAACACAGGCAAGGAACAACATTGGCGAGGAATCAAACTTCCGCCATTGTTTCCGCTTAATGCAGATTTTCTAGAGTTTGGGGAGTCGAGTTCCAGAGAAAACAATACACATGTGTTGATTGGCACAATGTAGTGTCAACAGTTTTGTGGTGCCCGCAAAGGCCTCACACAACCACCAGCCTGAGAGCACATCTCGTGATCTCGAGGATATCGAGTCGGCTCACCGACATGGACTCAGACTTGTCACAGATATCCTTGCTCCATTCCCAATTAGCATGACTGCGTCAAAGAACTCGTTGTTTTTTCCCTCCAATCAATGGACACTTAACGCATATTTTCATTTGTTTTACATCAGGGAATAATAGTGAGTTGGGGCAGTTTATAAACGTTTTTCTTTGGACATTCTTTTTCCTTGAAATGAGAGTTGTATACTCACGGTTTATTCCACGTTTTTATTGACTTTCTGTGGTTTCTTGTTAAAAGAATTGGTCAAAGTTTATTCATCCATTTTTTTTTTCAACATTTGTTAAGCGATTGCGACCCCGTCAGAATTTCTACGCGAGTCATTAGCATAAAAAGTGCCCCCACAATTTCTTTTGAAAACGGATACCGTTTGGCTTTAAAAACGTTGGAATTGTGTAAATATAGCCAAGGATCCACTCCCTGGTTTTTGGGCTTCCATCTGAGGGCAGGCTTGATAAAATTACGGATGAAAAATGGGTCCTATTTGCCTGTGAAAGTGGAAGGATGCCACTTGTAAAATGGCTACATGCAGGCTTGGGAGCTATCACTTTTCGGGGGGGGGTGATTTTATTTGGGTGTGAATATTTAAAAATGTAATTGGCTAATGTACCTAAAATTGAAATGAAATGAAAAGATGAAAGACAAGACAATAATTTAATTTTTGTTTGAGAAACCCCAGTGATGTTGGCTTGCATGTTATTTGGCCCTGAACTTTGTTGATTTACACTGTTTTCAATGGGGCTTGAATTAGAACAGCGGACCCTGTAGCGATCTTGCATAATTGATTTTTTACGTGTTGTAACTTTACAATTCCCGTCACTTACTCAGGCTCCGTTTCGAATCACAAACGGTCGGACTGCATTACGCGACGCTCAAAATGTTGTCCACATGGTCCGCAATGAAACATAAATCACATCCGGTATGGAACATATGTGCATTTATATGGGAAGTTTTCGGGTAGCATTTGCGCACATTGTCTAACTGCGGTCTTGAACAGCTACAGCCAGATGCTTTATACATGGGTCATAGTGCACTTCCTTCACAAGATTCTGTGAAGCTCATCAGAGTATCCCAGCGTCCTGTTTGCAGGGCGGGGGGTACGAGCGAAAAACGGCAGTTATCCCATTTAGTGCCGCTGTAGTCGCGCCCTCGCGATCGCTGATTGGTTCCCTAGGAAGCGATATGATGTTGGGTCACCGCAGTAGCGGCGTACGTTTACAACCGTCGGGCTTGAACCATTTCTCGATCGCTGATTGGTTCCCTAGAAAAGCGATGATGCTGGATCACTGCACGTAAGCTTATAGCCCGTATGTTTACAACCGTTGGGTGAGCCATTGAAGCATTTCTCGATCGCTGATTGGTTCTCTAGGAAAACCTAGGGAGAAAATAAAGAAAAAGTTAAACCGCTGATACGAAATGGCCAAGACGTTAGTGCGTCTAATTGTTTGCCATTAGAGGGCGCACTATGCATGCCATGCACCGTCCACTATCGATCACTAACCTCTTGGGCCAAGACTAGGCGGTTTCGGGGCGCAACAGTGAGTAATAGGCCAGGCGGTTTCGGGCTCTGACCATACCATACTTGTGGGGTGATGTTCCTTTCAGAACACCTCACCCCACTATTTTAACAATAGAAAAACATCACCCCAGAAGAGGAACTTTAGAAAAAAGGATAAAAGGAACACAATGCTATCCACACAATTCCGTCTGGCTCGGGTGTCCGCGCAACATGGACTATTGGTTCACATGTGGAATGTGATGCATAGGTGCTGACAGTACGAGCAGCGCACAAGATTTGAGCAGGGAGGATCAAGCAACGACGTTTGGGTCAAACTTCTGTGGAACCCGGGTGCATCAAATTTCAAGGGGGCACTAAATACAGTATAACAGTGCAGTTTTTTAGATTCAAGAATTCAGATGGGTAGAGGAACGGATATTTCCAGGTCGGGGTGGGGGGGGGGGGCTGTGCACCCCGTGCCCCCCCCCTTAGTTACGCTACCGGGGAGAAGGGAGAACAATCACAATAAACTCACACGAACTAGACTTAACATTTTGTACGCTGTATATATATATTGATGTTACGGTGATTAAACCGACTTTAAACTTTCTATAAACAAAAAATTGCAGTAGCATTTACAAGCGTATAGGCCTACTCTCCAAAGTTTTACATAGTTTATGTGACCTAATGGTTTGTCTTTAAAAAATACACGTGCAGGCAAGCATGCAGGCAAAGATGAAAATTACATTCGTATTAATGCATTCACTGAAGTAATTGTACACAGATATAAGAAATTGTCGAGATGATACCTGTACATGATTGTGTTAATTAATTGGTTCAATGGATGTCACTTGTTATTCTACACTTTTAAGATAATGGTATTTTTCAAAATCGTCGGAAAAAAGTTGTCTGCACTTTAATGTCAATAAGCCTATCGTTTTCCCCATTAGACGTACATTCTAAATCATTCATATTTAATATATAGGGCCTAAGATAATTTTTCGATTAACCTACCAAAACAAAATCACTCCAATCATGTGTTTTGTATGGTTTCATAAAACTGACAGAAAAAGACTAATGTCAAGATATCGTTGATTAAAAAAAACGACTTCAAATTATTTCAGTTTATACTCGCAGGGGATTTTTTAATCTGCGGAATATATTTCTCTAGAGTCTTAAGAAAACTTTACTCAGTAGGCCTTTCAGGAGGAGGAGTCAGTTGAGACTGAGAGTTTGTCTCGTCTTCACGCTCCTGGTGCTACGAAAAACACAGGAGAGCATATGGGAAGCATTTTATCTAGATCTGATCTTACGGAGGAATCCAGAAGGTTCGGGGATCAGGTGGTACCGGCACCGCAACATGTGACGGAACACCTCCTTGAAGTGTGGGTGTTTGGCCCCGTAGATGATCGGGTTGACAGCGCTGTTGAAGATGATGATTGTCGCGGTCCATGGAATGACCGGGTCGCTGGGTGGTATCATGATGGTGATGGCAAAGGGAGCCAGGCAAGCAACGAAGGCACAGACCACGTAGAACAGGTTCTTGGTGATTTCCACCTGTCGCTTACTGAAGCTGGCCGGTCGGTTCCTGGAGAGTCGTTTGGTGCTGGCGGTAGCGGAGTTTGATGTCTCGGCTAGCTCCACACCTTTACCCGACATCTTCCTCATATGGCCGGTGATGTGGCGATAGATCTTGAAGTAGCACACGAAGAGGATGATCAACGGGATGGGATACACGAGGACAGAGCCGAGCAAGCTGAAGAGGCCGGTATTCTTATGGGAAGTGTCTTGGGTGCAAGTCTTGTACTTCTCGGAGTAGCCCCACTTGCCGATACCAAACAGGGGGAAACAACTCACCAGAGCTGGGTACCCCCACGTGAAGACCAGCATGGCCGCAATCTTCTTCGGAGTGTAGACAGATCTGTAAGTCTTAGAAGATTTTGTGATGAGGACGAACCGATTGATAGCTATCAGAGCAAGGTTTATGATGCTGCATGCCAGGCTGGTGTAGAACAGACCAGCCATCACTGAGCACACGATCAGCGGTAAGGGCCAGCCATTCATACTAAACAACGACAACGCTATGAACGGAGCAGTGCTGCATGTCACCAAGTCAGCCAAGGCCAAGTTGACGACAAAAGCATTGGTGCGGGTTTGGAGTTTCCTTGACAGAATGACAGCCAGGATGACCATGGAGTTCCCAGCGAAGCCAACGACTGCCACGAGGCAGTAGACGCAGCCGATGATGATCCGCTGTACGGGGTCTTCAAAGCGAAAGTTGCGACCGTCACCTTGAGTCGTGGTCTCCATCATTGCTGTAGTTGTCATGTTCGAATCGACACTGACACTAGTTGCGTCAAGTGTATCAGATGTCGTGAAATCAGATGACAGAAAATATGACATGGTGCTAACGACTGTCATGTTTTTTGGTACCATTGTCGTGGCCATTTCGCTTGTCACAGTGAACGTATTCATCTCTTGATGGTGAGATCAGTGGATGCTGCTACAGTGACTGTTCGTCGTTGATTGTCGGTGATTCAGACCAAACGTCCTGTATTTCAGCAACTACCCTGGCAAAAGCAGCAAGTGAAACCAAACGTTTAATTCGGAAATGAAACGTTTCCAAGTGCTCTACCTTTTGCTTTTAGCCAGGGAAAATTTCAAGGGGAAATCCCCAAAGTCAACCCTTTTTATATTAATTATTACCACACAAATTTCTTGGCGTCTCTTATTGTAAGTTATTGACCTGTTGCTGAATAACATTATGAAGAAAATTAGCAATAAAGGAACAAGATGTTGCGAGGATAATACACTAGAACTTCCGCCGTGGTTTCCGCTAGAAATGCGGATGTGCTAGATTTTGGGGGGTCGAGTGTCAGAAAACAATGCAAATGATCTGATTGAATTTCTGAACAATGTGGTGTCAAGTCTTTAGGAAATTATATGAGATCCACTGTTTGTGGTGCCAGCAAGGCGGCAAAGGCCTCACACAACCACCAGTACAGGGGCGACACATCTCCAGGATAGAGACGGCGCACCGATGGACAGAGTCTTGTCACAGAACTGATATCCTTAGTCCATTCCCAATCAGATGAGGCTGCGCCAAAGATCTCGGGGGTCTTTTTCTGCCACATCAATGGACACTAAACGTTCATTTTTATATTTTTAAATAAGGGAATAACAGTGTGGTGGTGCAGTTTTAAATGTTTTTCTTTGGTCATTGTTTTCTCTTGAAATGAGGGTTTTATATTCTTGGTTTATTCCTCGTTTTCAATTGACTTTCTGTGGATTCTGAGTAAAAAGAATTGGTCAAAGTTTAGTCATCCATTTATGATTGGTTAACATGAAATTGTGGTGTTTATTTTCTTTTCTTTTTTTAGTAATGTTTGCGGAGCATGCAAAGCAAAATCCAAATATTTCCATCTCTGTTCTTGAACCATATCCCCTGATGCTTAGCCCTCACTTGTTTCTGAAATCAAATCTAGTGGGTTGACCGAGTTTCCCAAACATGTCAATGGAAGACTTTTGAGACGTTGGTGGCAGCAAACACACTGGTCCTTTTTCCATTGTTTGCGTCATGTTGAGCATGCACGCTTTAGCTTAAACATGACGTAAACAATTGAAAAGGTCCGGTGTGTTTGCTGCCACCAACGTCTCAAAAGTCTCCCATTCAGGCTCTAGGTTCGTCCTCATCTTTTTCCACAAATAAAAAATCATTATCAAAGTCGTTAAGAAAGGAACTTATTGCAAACAGTATATCTGAAGCCGAAGGACATGAAACAATTTCGTTTCTGGTTATTTTTGTCATGTAGTAGCTGACGACACGAATAATGGAGATTTTAAAAAGGGATGTAAGTTATTTTTGTGAAAGTCCTTAGCTGCAGCCAAGGTGATTACTGTCGCCGAAAAGGGCGACGAAAACCATTGTAAGCATTTCACCAATAAAACAAAGCAACCTTCAAAAAAATTAACCCTAAAGAAGCCGGGTTATTTTGACCATCCCACAGCCGGAGGACCGGGCGGACTCGCTCCCCCCCCCCCCCTCAGATCTCGACCATTGAGTGACGAAAAATTATGACACTTAGTGCTACCATAGAACAACTTAATATGAACATACCCAAGAAATTTCATGATGATACGTTAAAGGGTTTTGGAATTATCGGCTAAATAATTATTCATATGCACCAATGGTAATTCTGTTTTGTGTACACTATATACATAAAATTCTGTCTTCACGGCGCGCAGCGCCAAAAAAAAATCATTTAGAGTGGTAACCCATGGTCGAAATTGTATGTTTTAGGGACAAAAGATACACAAGACTCGAGCCAAAAAATCAGGAAAGCTCGGATTGGGTCGGGAAAATGTTTTTTTTGCAAGGGTATCGCGGAAAAAGTTGAGGGATGGGGGCGGATTCCGCCCCCGTCTACTTCAACCATGTAGTTATTATTACTTTGTTTTTTTGTATGTTAATCTGAGGAATTAATACTTATTCTGCTCAAATGTAAAAATAAATACGGTGATCATATAAAAGGTATCAGTTATTCAAAGAAAATCATAAGGACAACAGTATACAAACAGTGAAAATACTGCTTATAATACTAGACATAATGTTGTGATTATATTGTAAAGCTTATTTACTTCTCTGCATTTGACCAATGCACCACGATGATATCGACGTAAGCCGCCAGCTTTCCATATTATGCGCCTTGTTTGTCCGTTACGCATACGTTGCGTATGCGTTGCGGTAATGGCGAAAACGCTCCATGGCAGACGATCGAAACGGACACGCATGCAACGTATGGGGGGTTTACATAACGAGACGTGTGCTACTTTATGATTGTTGGTGTCCGTAAAAATGTAATGCATACGCATTGTAGCTAGAGCCATATCGACATATTAAGAAACGCTTAAAGCAATACAAACAAGACCCAAACAGCAACGCAGATTATATGGAAACTTTTCATCCGCAAATATTGCAACAGCCCAGACAGACGCGAACTATCTCAGTCGCAGCCTGATGCTGGGCCCAAACTTAGGCCAAGTTCGCGCAAGGACTATAGTTGACCAATGGTTAACCATAGTTCGACTAACACTTGCCCGAACTCTGTCTAGTCGACGGTGGTTGACTACGCTAGTCGACTATTTGGAACCAGCCTACAGGGGTTGGTTGCTTCGCTGGTAACCAATAGCCGCGCGCATTCATAACGCTAGCACAGAACCAGGATCCAGAAGTTTTGCAATAACATTTTGACCAGCGTTCGACTAGAGACGTTCGCACGTTGCTATTACTGCGCAGGCGTAAGGTACGTCACAAATCAACCACTAGTCGACTAATGGTCCTTGCCCGAACTTGGCCTTAACCATTTAACTGACATAATGGTGCGCCCTCTATTGAGATGATTCCTTGTTATTCTGTGTGTAAGATACTATCCATCGTCTGATGACTCTTTATTTGATAACGACTTCCCACAAGAGACGTTACATACATGATTGATACTGATTGTGGGGCGTGAACCAGTCTACCCTGTGAGAACGGGAATTATTGTCTGGCAGACAACAAGTCCAAATTGTAATGTAATAATTCAATAACTGAACATTAACATGGTCTAATTTTTTTCGGTCGACGTCTCATTCAAAAACGAATAACTTTTTTATTGCTAGAAAAATAGCAATTTAGAAAAGGAGTCTACTTTTCGGAATGAAACTCGAAAATAGCGCGGGGAATGCATCTTTGCTTTACTTGAGCTCTCAGCTCTCATTGGACAGATTTTTTTCATTGGTGACCAGCTGGGTTCAACATTTCCGCGTGTGTATTATACTCGTGCCCGGAATATACCTACATTAATCATCGCGAACAATTTGCTTTTCATTTACAAAGGATTGTAAAATAAGTTCAGCGGTCACCATTTTTCGTCCTTGGATGTGGTTGCCATATTGCGGTGGTACCAGCGACGGTTTACATTGTGGAATGTGATACATGCTGACGAGCAGCGCGCAAGATTCGAGCAGGGAGGAGCAAAGGCGTCACTAGGGCCAAACTTCTGCGGAACCCGAGTGCATCAATTTTCATGGGGGCAATAAAGGCAAAAATGAAATCATTTCAACAATGCAGTATAACTGACATATCGCAGTTTGCGAGTTAGCCACGCCCCGGACAACCCTATAGAATTTTCAACGTTCACTTTCCTTTGTCTCAGATTTCGCGCGTTCCGCGTCCATTTTGTTTATCATGTAATTTGACAATATATCACAAGCTGCGTTGAGGCGATCCATACCGCGATAGGTTAATTGTTTTCAATGGGAGACTTTTGAGACATTGGTGGCAGCAAACACACCGGTCCTTTTCAAGGGCGGATTCAGAACTCAATTTTTTTTGGGGGGGTGGGCAAAACCCTCCAAAAAGTGGGTCCAAAAATTACGGCGAGGGGTTCGGGGCCCGCTTAAGGATTTTTTTGGATTCTAGATGCTCTCTGGTGCTATGTGAGGCAATTTCTGACAACTTTATCAAATTATTGCGACGTCACTTATAAAAAAAAAATGGGTTCGTTTTTTTTGGGCCCCCCCCCCCCCCCTGGATCCGCCCTTGGTCCTTTTCAATTGTTTACGTCATGTTTAAGCTAAAACGCGCAAGCTCAATATGACGCAAATTATGGAAAAAGGACCGGTGTGTTTGCTGCCACAAACTTCTCAAAAGTCTCCCATTCAAGAGTTCAAATGGGGGACGGACAACCGCGGAGAGTTGGGGGGGGGGGGGCACGTGCAACCCGTGCCCCCCCCCCCCCCCCACCCGTAGTAACGCCCCTCGGGAGGATGGAGAAATAATCACAATGGATTCACAGGAATTAGTATTCTATGTTGTACATGTATATTGATGTTACGGTGATTATTACCACTGACCTTTTACTTTTTGTAAACAAAACAAACATTGCAGTGGCATTTACAAGCGTGTACTCTTCAAAAGTTTTCCATTGCGTAACCAAAAAGTTCGTCTTAAAATGCACATGTATTGCAGGCACGCATGCTGCCTGCATGCTTGCCTGCGATGCATTTGTACCTTTTAAGACAAACTTTTGGGGATGAGGGAGAAGATGAAAATGACAGTCTTATTAATACATTCACTGAAGGAATTGTACATTGATATATGAAATTATCGAGATGATACATGTGCATGTAATTAGTACATCAGGTGTCACTTGTTATTCTACGCTGAAGCTTTCACACAGAAACATGGATTCGTGTTTTAAATCACTTGAAAAGCTTTCTGCATATTAATATCAATCTGCCTAGGCCCTATCTTTTTTCCCACGAGACGTACATGCTAAATCATATTATAATCATTTCATAAACTACCCCCAAAAAATTACTCTACTCATGCGTTTTGAATCGTTTCATAAAATTGACGGAAATAATGCAGGACAAATATTTGATTTAAAAAATGGCTTCCAAATATTTATTTAAATGCATGTTAGACAATGTTACGGTTCAACCACCAAACAAATTCAAATTCTACTCGTGCGTTTTGAATCATTTCATAAAACTACCGGTAATATTGCATGGAAACTCTGAATTACTGTCATATAGTCTGGGGAAACACATTTCATAAACACATTAACAAACTGTTCATTCTTCAAAAGAAAGCCATTCGTTTAGTTTCAAAATCCTCTGTTCAAACAACTCAAACTACTCAACCTAAGAAACATGTATCATCAGAATATCTTTATATACAAATGCTTTAACAAACACCTCCCCACCCACTTCCAAACACTCTTTCAATTTAATTACAACATCCATAACAACAACACAAGGACTTCTACTAACATTCATCTTCCTAAACATAGGACACAACATTTTCAACACACAATTCGATATACTGGCGCAATCAACTGGTACAAACTTCCCAGTCATATCAGAAACTCAACTACACTTAATATATTCAAATCTAAAATTAAAAAGTACCTGTAAACTGCTCTTTGTTAATTACTTATCTGTATTACTTTACTGATTTTGTTATTGTATAGTACCCTATTTA